CATAATATCAGTGAAAAAAATATACAATATTCATGAATAATACACATATTTACTAATTGTTAATTAATTTACACAATTTTGAAGAGAAAATTTCAAAATAAGAAATGGCTAAAAAGAAAAAGGAAAAAAAAAGTTATCAACTTAACTGCATAATGTTTACAAAAAGAAAATTACAAATAAAAGAAACAAATTTTTTGTATTTTTTTCTAGTGCGGGAGAATTTGAGACAAATAAAATGAAAATATTTTTGAATTTATTTTGAACTTGTGGGTGGGAAGAAAAAGCCCTGGCTTCTGGAGAGCAAACATGTTGTGTCAATATCGAAAGAGATGAAAGATATGCGAAGTGGGTGTCTCAGCTTTACCAATGTGTGCCATATGCGGCCTCGCAGCGTTGGACTGCTACCTTTCTGTACATCTGTGCAATTCCAGTCTCTGTTCTTAGCTAAGAAAAAGGGGATAAAGGAGTTTCTCCATTTAATTTTTGTTTTTTCTTTTTCAAATTAAAAAATTTGTTTAAAAATTTTTATACCCCTATTAAGTTTTTTTCAACTACATTTAGACCCTTAAAAAAAATACAGAAGTAGCCGAAATAATGTCTATTTTAGTCTTTTCCAACCCTAAAATGGACACTGAACATGAGCCAAAGGGTGAGGTGGGGACAGGGGAGGTGCAGGGTTACCAGGAGACATAATTGTTTTTGGTAGAAATTTGGAGAGCAATAATAATAAATCGTGTAATTTATAAATAATTTATTTTTATAAAAAATTTTATTTATTTTACGGTGTGAAACTAATTCTATTTAAACATTTTAGTTGTCTAGTTTTAAATATACACTTTCATGAATTTAAACTAAATTCTTCCCTGTAATATATATAAAATTTTACTGCTTATATTATGTCCATTGAATGAAAAATTTTAACATTTGTGAAGTAGGTTACCTTTGATAAAATACTAATTAGAAAATTTTTGTTTTACTTTAAAATTTATGATAGGAAATATATTGCAATTTAATCTATAAGAACCACACTATAACTTATAGAAAAACTTTAGAAAAAAAATAATTTCTGTTGAGGAAAAAAAATTCAAGTTTAAAATATTGTTATTTTTGGGGATTTAAGATGAAAAATTCCTTGGCTATTTTTTATAAATAAAAATTCACAATAAGCACCCTTTGTTTTAGAAATAAAAGAAGCATATAATGTAAAATATATGCACGTCCAAAATATTTAAGAAAAAGCGTAAATAAACACTCCAAGAACCCAATACAACATTTCAAACAAATCTCGTACGAAGTCGTTTTTTAAGAATTTAAAATGATTTAAAAATTAATACGTAAAGTTCTGTCTAGAATCCAAATTTAAAATTTTTAAAAGTTTCTCAATCAAATAACCATCCTTCTCTTAAAAGTATATATAGAGAGAGATACAAATAGAAAAAGAGCAAATTTAATTCATTTGATATTTATTTTTAGAAGATAAAGCTCATATGCCCTCTCCCTCTCTCTCTCTCTCTCTCTTTACATACATATATATATATAATTTTTTCATACATATATATATATATATATATAATTTTTTCGTGAGAGAGAAAGGTACACCATTTGAAATAGTATCGAACGAACGCTTAAATGGGGGGAGGGAGTTGCCCCTTTACTATCTTTGCATTAATTCCTTGTATGACGAATGGTCTAGAAAACCTACTAACGTGGTTTTCTTGTGGTCTTGGCTACCTTAAAAAAAAAAAAAAAAAATCAAATTTAAAATTCAGACGCTATCCCAATTCCAAAGCCACATCTCCGGAATTAAAAAATAAAAATAAAAATAGAAAGAGGGAGAGAGAGGGAGAGTGCGTGTGTGTGTGTGAGAGAGAGAGTAAGTAGGTGGGAGGTTGCTTTCGTAGAGGTAATATCATTGTCAAACTGTGGGGCGTTTGCTTTTATTATTATTTTTGCTTGTACCCCACTGCTCCCTAAAAATTTAAACAGCGAAAAATTTGACAAAGGACAGGAGACCCCACAGCCTACAGGCTCTCATGACTTCTGAGTTCTCAGACCTTTTGTAACCGACCCTACCCTGCCCCACCCTATCCTACCCCACCTACTTTTATTTAAATATTTTATCCCTTAAAAATAACATATATACATACAAACCAATGGATTACGTTTGGCCCACCACAATGATTTCGGATGCATCAAATTACATTAATCCTCAGAAAAATCAATTTGAATCGTGTTAAATAATTCACTTGAAAATATGGCGAACCAACTTTCTTAAAGTTTTCAATGGGTTGAAATTAGCTGTCAATTGATTATTAAGAAAATGGATTATTCTAATTTTATATATATATAAATATACGCCTATTTTTTTACTTAAGTTAAACTAGCTTAATATTATTATAAAAATTTTAGCCCCAATGGGCAGTATGTATTAAAAATAAATCAAATATTACCATTTTTGACCTCAATTTTTTAAAATAATTAAAAATATTTTTAACTAAAAAATCTAGATTAGCAAAAATATGTGTCATTGGATAATAAAAATTTATTTAATATCACATCTTTGAGTTAAGATTTTAATATATGTTAGATTAGTCTCTAAAACTGATCTAATTAATATAAATATCATTAGGATCTCTACCTAACATTAAATACAGGGTAATAAAGGTGTTAATGCATACTTTATAAATTGATATATATGGAATTACATATAATATATATGTATAAATGCAATTTTATGTAATGTTTTGTTTTAGTTTGGTTCTTTGTATTGGTAAGCCAAAATCAAACCGGTTTTTTTTAAATATTTAATTTTATATTAACTTGCCAACCGACGGACCAAACATAACCGACGGTTTGGCAGGACGGTTGGTTCCTTTTTTAACAGCCCTATTTGGCCATCCTAGCTTTTTCAAGAAGCACGTTGATGATAATAATGACTTTTTTTTTAAGGTTCAATTTTCTTATCGTGTGATTATATGAATAAAAATTTAAAACAAAACAAAAGAGTTGTCTTGCAAGAATAAAATTTTTTTGATAAATAATTAATATAAAATTTATATTTATCGAATTAAAGAAGCTTAGTAACGGCAGATGTAGGGTTAGAGCTTGTAACAAATTGGAACTAGTGTTGAAAGCCGGTTCTTAATAATGCCAAAGATAAACATGATGGGTCGCTATTCAATAACTTTTGCTACTAATATTTCAATATAAGTTTGAGATTGCGGTTAAATTTTGATAAAATTGATTTTCAAGTGGGTTTTTCTGACAAAGTCACAATCTTATATTAGATTTTTTATTTTTATTTTTTTATTATTTATAACTATGTTATGTTCAGTGGTTGCATAGAATACGTGTATGTAATTAATATAAGAATCCAGTCTGTTGGAAATATCATTGGATCAAAAGCATACCAAAAATAGGGTTTTCGTATTTTTATTAAACTACTAAGCTCCAATTCATATGTCCCAAAAATCCTTTTGAGGATATAAATCATTAAAAAGAAGGCACTTGTTGAACGATTTTGGCATTGAAATGAAAGCTAAAGAAAGTTTGAATAATTTACAAGTCATAATTTAAACTATATGCTAAATTTGAGGTTTAGATTTATGAAATATATTGATAAAAATGGGAGCATACTTCTAAAGATAGAGACCAGCCACTGCAGCTGATTACTAGTTTTAGAAACACAGCTGATTTCAAATTTACACCTCCGTCGTCTTAAGCATCTTTCTATTTGTATCTCTAAATATTTCCTCTTAATCTCAACAATAAAATTTTTGAGAGAAGTTGCTCAAACTCGAAAAATCTACTATGGTAAATATCTTATCTTTATTATCTTAACCCTTAAAAAGAGGATCTACAAAAGTTCTGCTTTCTATTAATGTTTTCTTCTTCTTTTTTTGTGTGTTTTTTTGGACACTCTCTCAGACTTGGACCACCAACGGACTTGGATCCAAAGTCTATTTTCAAAGTTGTTTTTTTTTTTTTTTTTTTGCTTCAATTGAATCAATTTCTGAAAATTTTGAAACTAATTTTCAAATGAACTTTTCCATTTTTATGGATTTCCAGGCATTCTACTTAAAAAAACATGAAGAGTTCCCGGAAACCGACACCAAAACCTTTCTTCTTAGGTACCTTTCCCCATAGCCTTATATTAAACCAAAGACAAACCCGTAAGGCAAGAATTAATTTGTATTTATAGTTGGAGCTCTAATCCTTGCAACATGTTGCAAGCAACAAAAACCAGAAAGTCAATATTCCTTGCTTGTAGCTCCCAGTCAGAGACCCAGTCAGTTCCCACCACGTGTCCGTCATGCTTCCCACTCCGGTCAGAGTAAAAAGCTTCACAACAACAAGAGATTCCCTCCGGCAGCCGTGAAAAAAATTGAGAAAACGAGCTCTCACGGACCGGTCCAGCACCCCAAAAGAAAGCAGTTTTCGAAAAACGAAAGTACTAAAGAAAACAAAACAAAAGTGGGGAGAGAGAGAGGGGGGGGGGGGTGGGAGGGGACCATCACGTTATTGTGATGACACCTTTGCCTCCATCGCACGGCGGCCGAGACGGCACGAGGGCCTGCCGTCAGCAAGCCCGCTCCGATCTCGTCCCCGAAAAAATAAAATATATGCCAAAAAATTAATAATTTAAAAAACCCCAATTGGGCTCTGTTTCCTGCTGAGAAACAGAGGAGGCAGTGCGGGCCTCGAAATCCAAGAACATCAGGATAAAATCTGAATGCATATAAGAACGAGATTCGTTTCATCCGGTAAAAACTTGATATCTCTATTTTTTTCCAGTCTTTTATGTAGTTTTTATTACATTGACGACGGATTGATTCTAGACTTTGCTTCTTACACACACTCAGCGACCAAAAATGGAGAAGGGGATAAAGAGATTATACGATTATCTGAATATCCGGCTATATATAAGATATATATACCTTTTTAATATGCCCTTGTACTTGATCAAGACGAAAAATTGAGAAAAAATCCAAAATTTTCTAGGGTTTCTCCCTTAAGAGAGAAGCTAATCCGGTCACGACCTTCGCCCCTCTCTCACAGCTTCTCGGTTTGATCGTCGGAGGCTGCCACGGGGACGCCACGGCCGGAGAAGGCGGCGGCTTTTCCTTGTCGCCGGAAGTCTTCGCCGGCGGGCGCGAGTCAGCTTCGCCCGAATTCATTTCCTCCTCCGACAGCGCCTGTTCCTCCCCGAAGATGAGCTCCAGCTCTCCGGAGACGCTCTCCGACGGATTGTGCTTCGGCGAAGCGTCGGAATCCTTGACGGCGTCGGTTTTTGGAGGACAAATTGACTTATTCTCGGCCTCAGTTTGAACCTCCTCGGCCGGAGAGTCGGTCTCCTTGTCGGCATCGTTTTCCGCTGGAGCGGTAGTTCTGGCGTAAGGGAAAGCCATTTGGCTCGCATGTACTCCGCCTTCCTCCACGGAGGTATGTGCATCCCTTTCTTCTTCAAGCTCTGTCTGGCGGCCTCAGAAACGATTGAAACGATTTGTTGGAGACGATCAGCGCGGCCGACGAAAATGTGTGGCAGAGATTGGAGGATCGATTTATAGCCTCCAGTTGATCGAGCAATCTCGAACTCTGATCTGAAATCAACATCTACCAAGACTCTATCGCCTTCCACATTCACATCTATGTACTCATATTCCCCTGTATAACCATATAAAAACACACAAATGAGGGCCTAAGCAAAAATTTTATTACATAAATATCTACATCCAGACCTAGTGAAAGAGAGGAATTACCGGCGGGATATGAGGCCGATTTTTCCCATCGCGATTTGCAGATTGAAGCATCGTAACCGACAAGCAATAGACCGTCCGTAACAATTTTTCTCAGATCATCCTTCCGCTTAGAAGTTTTATTCTTTTCGACGATCTTCGAAATGTCGGCTAAGAGATTTCTCTCTGCAACACTGGCGCATGGGATTAAGCTCTACAAAACAGAATAATTTTGTTAGATTATCAGCAAAATGCATAGGCCGATGTTCGAATTTAATCACTATCAGAGAATTGAAAAGAATTTAGCGAAACATTTACCTTAAGAGTATCCAAGTAATCACCAAACGAAGCGGTTGGAATTGAGTCACCAAAACCACCATTGGTTTCGAATTCATCGTCGGAGCTGTCATTGTTGTTTCCATTGAAGCAATTGCAGCGGTTGCGACTACATTTCACAGCCGATTGCTTCTCGTTAGTCTCCTCGATGAAGTTCTGCACCATTTTATCCAGACACACAGAACTCGGCTCGAACTCGGCAACTCCATCCTTACCGTACTGCGGCTCGCCGGCAGGAAGCTTCTCCGCGGATGAAATGCGCAGAACACTTGGGAACTGCAGATCAAAGAGCCTCTTGAGGCGTGATTTCAAGACAGGTTTAGCCGAATCGTTCCGGATCGATTCTCCGTACGCTTGGGAATCGAGAGGTTGAATCTTCATCGGAAAAGGCATGGTGAGATTGTTAGTCAAAGACTCGGTTCTCTCTTGGTTTTAAGCACCGCTCTTACGTTTTACTTCTCAGAACCGCCTAGTTATACTGAGTCAATACCGCTCAATTTTTTCAGAGCTCTGAAAGGCACTCTTTCTTTAAGATTACAGTGAACAATCAAAACTCAACACTGTACTCGAGTAACTCGATATCAATGATTCTCAGAACCCTCACTTTAAAAGAGTTGCACATAAAGACATGAACAATGAAAGCACTGAACCGCAAAATCAATGATCGGAGGTTAGGTTAACAAATTCACCTCAACAATTAATACAACTCGCATCACCCGATCATCATCATCATTTCCGCCATCGGATCACGCAAGGATCAATCAGAACCAACAACTACCCAAACTAATACAAAATTGTTTTCTGAACAAAATCGGTACCTTGCTCAGTCGTCCAGAAAAGGATCGAATGACTTCGCAACTCTGCAAGAGAAAATTAATTGCGTTTCCCCTTAGTGCATCTCATGGAAGACGTGATGACGATGGAGCGAGACGAGGTCATTGCGTGTGCGAAGAGACAAATCGACCGCCGGAATATTCATTTTCCGGCTACCAGAAAATGCAGGTTCGAAGAGCGTCTATTTGGCTGTTTCTGAAGTAGAATGATTTGGGAGGGAGGATTTTATAGGCGAAGTTCCAGGTAATGACATGGACATTTGCCATGTGGCGGATGACATGGCGAGGATAGAGATGAGATTTGCGTCGGAAACGTGGCAGAAGTTGCTCGCAGTCGGGTCTCCTCCGACGTGATGATATGAGGACGCGTGTTCTCGAGAAAGTTCGTGGGCGCTGGTGATTGGACAGCGGGATACCAAAGTAAAATTACTTGGATATCCTTTCTGTTTCGCATAAAGTTGGGTATATGCTCCTCGAATAGCGGAGATATCGAAACTGCCCCTGGATTATCGTGGCCGTGTTCGAAATTTGAAATGGGATTTTTAAAACTTCCCAAATCTGACTCTTCTTCTCCCTTCATTTTTATACAAAAATCTAACAATTTTTTCCCTTTTCTTAGAGATTTCTAACATTTCATTTTCGCCCTTGAACTTTTGCTTTAAAAATATTTTAACTCATATTTTTGTAATTAGTGGTGTTTACGGTTTGATTTTTTACAATTTTTTCACAAAATTTATACCATACCAATTTATTCAATTTTTAAAAATTAAAACTAAAATCATATTTTTTGATACCAATACCAATTCATTCGATTTTGGTACGATACGGTACGATTTGGTTCGATTTTTTAATATTTTGTTATTTTTAAATTTAACTAATCAAATAAAATAATATGTAATAATAAGTATAAACACTTCACAACAAATAAGTAAATAAATTTAAAGAAATAACCTAAAATTTGTAAATAAATAAAAGGATAAAAATAAAGAGACTTATAAAATAAATAAAAAGATGTATAATATAAATCAACTAAATATAATAATATCATATTATTATTTTAAAATTAATAGAGACTTAAAATAAAAAATAAAAAAGAGATTGAGTCATCATTTCACTTTATTTTGTCACTTTTCGATCATGTATTGAACATGAATCATAGTCATGATTAATAAAAATTAAGGCGAGACAGTGGAAGAGAGAGGCGAGGTGAGATAATTGTAAAGAGAGAAAAGGAGATCGTGAGAGTTGTGCTTAAGAGATGAGAGAGTTAGTATTCCAAACAAAATTTTGTATATATATTTTCTCTTTTTACACTTTAACCCTTTATACTTACACATCCTCTTCATATAAGCCTCCATCTTTCTAATTTTTTCAATTTACTATTAAATTATTTTTAATCTCTAGAAATTTGAATATTTATATATAATATAAATAATTTAATAAATTATTATATATAATATTTAGTTCGGTACGATTTTTTCAGTTTTTTATTTATAAAACCTAAACCGTATCAAAATATTCAGTACAGTAGTACCTAATACCAAAACCTATAATATTTTTTTAAAAAATTAACTTTTAGTACGGTACAGTTTGGTTTAATTTTTTAAAACCATGAACACCCCTACTTGCAATAATAAAAGGTTTTGGCAAGTGCAATATCTTTTTTTGATTTTCACTTATTATTTTACTTTGAATTGCTAATTAAGCAGACATTTAAAAAATAATTTAAGTTCACGATTAATTAAAAATTTTATTTATTTGACAAGTAGTAGAAAATTCGAATTCGAATTCGAAATCTCCTTTTTTCAATAGTTTGTTGAAGTTTGAATATAGTAAGGTAAGATATGGCTTCATATTTTATTTTTATCACACGAGAAAGAAAATAGAAAATTTTAAATTTTAATTATTAATGTTAGTTTTGTAAAAAAAATATTCTAATTAATAAACTCAAAATTATTAAGAAAAACTTATTTTTAATATATAATTTGATAAACATCACATAAAAATAATAACATTTTTTTTTCAATTCTGAATGATCTGATTGGTCAACAAAAAACTTAGTTGATCAAGCCACTTGGCAGTTGGCATATATTTTCCTTTATTTGTTCCTATTTTTTCTTTTGGGAAAATAGTAGAATTTTTTATTTAATTTATTTATTTATAAAAATGACACATGTTTTTGCGAGTTACCTTACTCTGGTAGGTGAACCCCATACGTCTCGTGCTAAGACCCTGTTCCAGCTAATTGTTTTGTCCCACCTTTTTCTTCAACCAAATAAGAAATATATTAATTTTAGTTTAGAAAAACTTTATAAAAACAAATTCAAAATGGGAAAAATATTTTTCCCAAAAGACAAAAAATTATTTTATGTTTTTATTAATAAGATATTTATTTTTCTTTGTTTCTATTTATCAAATCAATACAATGTGGCGCTTAAAATTATATTTTAACGCGGATTTTAAATGCAAAACTTACCAACTTCAAGCTGTAACATGATTGTTACGCAGTTACATAAATTAATTTATTATATGAATATGAATCGAAGGATATAAGATAAGTTTTTTAAATTTAAAATTTAGAGTAAAGTTATGATTTAACAATAAAAAATTAAAATAATAATTTTTTTAATTATTTTTAATTATAAATTAATAAATTAAAAGAAAAAAAATAGTTTATTTGATATTAGGTGTTATTTCAGTAAAGTAACATTCAATAACATTCAATAGACTAATAAAAAAGAAACTTGTGTACAACACTTTTAATTTTAACTTTTTATTTTAAAATATAAAAAATAAAATAAATTTATTTTAATTATTTATCAATTAATTTAATATTTAATATTATATTTATTTTTTTTATTAAATATAAAATAAAAAATATAAAAATTAAAATCAATAAAGCTGCACATATACTTTTTTTTCTACTGGAGTGCTGCTCCGCCACGTAACATCAAATGGACCGAAAAAGAGGACCGGGGGAGGGGGGGAAGGAACGGGGGATGATGAGCCTAAGGGGCTAGGCCAGTCTCGATCTCTCACTTTTTGCTCGAACGTTCCCCAAAATCGTCCACAGCTACACTCTTCTTTATTGACGCGCAATAATCACCGATTCTTTGCTTCGCTCGCTTTACCAGTCGCTATTACTTACTCAGAAGAGGACGATGGGGATAGAGGACGCTTGTCCAACGCCAGCGCTCTCCGTTAGCCTGCAACCGACAGGTGTCCGGCAGAACCTTATGCCCTGCGGGCTTGAGCGACAAGCTCTCTAAATTCAACCGGCAGGCGCCAGTTATGACTCTTATGGCTCTGCTTTCTTCGTGCGTGAGCGAGAAGCTCCCTTCTCATTCGCTTTCGGCGAGGAAAAATGAAAAGGAACAAAATAAATAAAAAAAGGAACAAAGAAAAGGTAGTCGACTCGAGTCGGTGTTCGTGAGCCGGCGTCAGCAGCTCGACGCGCTTCGGCGCAGCACAGCCAAGCGATTCGGCTTCGCCGCGTCTGGACCTTGACCTTCAAAAACGTGGACCTGGACCTTGACCTAAGGGGCTTCCAGAGAGCCCTGGGTGGGTCCGGTGCTAACTTCGGATTTTGTAGTAGTTTTAAAGTAGAAATACGAGGACTTATTTGGTGTGGTTCAAATTAAAGTATTTAGATTACGTGCTTATGAAATTAAACTCGCCCTTTAACCTTTTCCATTTAAGAGTATATTCGTAATTTAGAGAAATTTCCGCAGCAAAATAGTAATTAACAAATAAATTTATATTTTCATTTGATATTTCTATTTAATTATTTTCAAAAATATTAAACTGAAAATTTAGTGTCGAATAAAAACGTTTAAGAATTATTTTCTTTTTCATTAACTTAAACTTTAAAGTGACACTCGTCAGTAGAAATTCTTATATAGTTTATGTCAGATTTTTTTAATATATTTTAAATTTTTTTAAAAAAATTAATTATAAATTGAGATATTTTAACCAATTAAACTATTTCTTGGTCAACTAAGGTAATTTATGAGGATATTGAATACTTTCTAAATCTACCTGGCAATTAATTTAATTTAATTTTCCAGTTACGGGAAATAGAGGCCATTAATTAGGATATTCAATGCTTTTTACAGGCATGCTTGGTAAATAAATTTAATCTTTTAGATCTTATGATGAATTTTTAGAGTTAGCTGTTTAGTGGTCATGACCCATCCGTTTTAGAAAATGGCTTCACCTTCAAGTCTCACTATGTTATACTTTACTGTTTAATTCTCGTGATTCTCAGTAAAAAAAAAAAAAAACTTGTGAATTTTGACTTTGACGTCTTAAAATCCACATTAAAATCTATTAAAAAAATCTAAGAATACCAAGAATAATAATTTATCCATATTCAACATGTATTCATAAATTTTATTCGATCAAGATCAGGTGTGAATCATTTAAAATGAAAATAAGATGAGTTTGAAAATTTTCTTGAGGACTTTTCAAATATAGAAATAAATACAAAGGTTATAATATCCAACTTGCCCAACATAATGTACAACATTATATATATGTACATTAAAAATTATATTATAAAAATATATTAGTTTTTTAAAAAATTAAATTAT